TCCGAGACCGAGCGCGCGTGGGCATCCGCAGCTCCCTCCCGTTCTCGACTGCCGGAATGGCCGCGGGAGCCTGTTCGTCGGGCCTGTCCTCCGGGTGAGCATCTTGAAATGTTTTGGAGGAGTGAGATCTTTTGAAAAGTGTTATTTTTTTTTAAAGGTGTTTTTTAGAAATGATATTTTCGAGAAAGTGATACGTTTTGAAAAGTGTTTACTAGCAATGTTTTTTTTTTTATTATTATTACTTTGAAGTTTTATTTATTTGTTTTTACTTGTCGATATACTTTTGAAAAGTAAATGGCGAAAGGAAATGTACATAGATATATAAATAGATGGATAGATAGGTGGATAGACAGACAGAGAGCAGAGCCAACGATTCCCAACCCATTCCAACCCATTCCAACCCATTCCAACCCATTCCAACCCATTCCAGCTCGTCGGACACGCAGAGCCAGTCGAGCGGCGGCGACCACAAGAGCGACACCCCGACTCCCGAAGGCACCAGGAAGAACGGCGAGGGCTCTTCTTCGTCCTCGTCCTCGTCAGCGTCTTCGTCAACGTCCGGCGTGGCTTCGGGCGTGAGCGTGCGCTGCGGGAAGGGACACGAGCTGCCGGTGACTGCTGGTGAGTGCTTGAGGGGGGGAGGAGGGAGAGGAGGGGGAGGAGGAAAGGGGGGTGTGGGAGGGGGGAAAGGGGGGAGTGGGAGGGTAGGAGGCGAGATGGGTGGGTGGGAGTGGGGGAGGTAGAGGGGGTGGGAGGGGGAGAGGAAGGAGGGGGTGGGGGTGGGAGATGAGGAAGGAGGGAGAGGGGGAAGAGGGAGAAAGGAAAGTAGGTGGGAGGGGGAGAGGGGGGCGGTGGGGGAGAGGGTGAGGGGGCTGGGATTGGGGGAGGGGAATGGGAAGGGGAGAATTAAAGGGGGAGGGGTAGGGGGGTAGGCGGGAGATGAGGAAGAGGGAAGTGGAAGATAGAGGTGAATAGGAGAGAGGAACAGGGAAGGCGAGAAGAAGGCGTTGAGGAAGGAGGGAGGAGGGAGGAAGGAAGAAAAGAAGAAGAAGGAAGGAGAGAGAGAGAGGAAGAGGGCAGAAAGATAGAAGATAGAATGAAGAAGAATGGAAGCAGGAAGAAGGACTATAGAAAAAAGGGAAATAGGAAGAAGGGGGATGGGAGATAGACAGAAAGACAAGAGAAAAATAGAAATGAAGATAGAAAGGAGAATAGGAAGTACGAAGAAAGATAGGAAAGAAAAAGGAAAAGCCTGATAAAGATAAATAAAAAAAAACACTCGAAAAATGAAAAGCAGAGATAAATAAAAAAAAGGAAATAAACACGAGAAAAAAGGGAAAAATCTAATAGAAATTAATAGAACATAAATAACGTAAAAAAATAAATACATACACATATTTACATACAACGATTCACGAAGAATCCTCACAGCTCCACTTCCTTCTACAGGAGCGAGGGAATCCGCTGCCCTGCGTCAGGAGGTGGAGACGCTGCGTGCAGAGATCACGAAGGCAAGACAGACCATCTTGCACATGCAGGAGCGAGAGAAGAAGCTCAAGGAGAGGTGAGAACTTCAGAACTGCAATGTCGGTCGTGGCTGAAGTTTTGACTTTTTTTTTCTTTTTTATAGATGGTGGTGGAGGTGGTGGTGGTGGTTGTGGTAGTCTTAGTAGTAGTAGTATAAGTTGTAGAAGTAGTGATAGTAGTAGAAGTAGTAATAGCAGCAGCAGCAGCAGTAGTAGTTATAGTAGTAACAGTAGTTATAGTAGTAATAGTAGTAGAAGTTATAGTAGTAATAGTAGTAGTAGTAGCTGTAGTAGTAGTTATAGTAATAGCAGTAGTAGTAGTAGCTATAGCCGTAATAGTACTAGTAGTAGTAGTTAATAGTAAGTAGTAACTGGGTAAGTGATGGTGGTGGTGGTAATAGTAGGAGTAATAGTAGTAGTGATAGTAGTAGTAATAGTCGTAACAAGTAATAGTAGTAGTAATTGCAACAGTAATATTGATAGTTATAGTAGCACTACTAATAATAAAATTAATAGTAAGTAGTAGTAATATTAGTAGTAATAATAGTATTAATGGTAGTACTGATAGTAATAGTGATAATACTAGTATAGTAATAATTTTTAAAAATGATAGTAGTAGTGCTAATAGTAGTAACAGTAGTCGTATTAAGTAATGGTAGTAATAGTAATATTAATATTAAGAGTAAAAGTAACGATAAAAACAAAATATAGTAATAAAGCCTCATGTTTACCCCCTCCCTCTAACCCCCCTTCCCCCCCTTCCCCAGACTGGGCGAACGGGCGTCGCGCGGGCTGGAGCGCAGTGGGGGCGGAGGTGGGCGTGTGGAGAACCTAAGCCTGGGGGAACGACGCCCATCCGCCCTCGTCCGTCGCTATGGCAACCTCTACGCCCAGGCCAGGGTGGATACACTCGACGCTCTGGATGCCCTTCCGGATCTCAAAAACGCGGAGGAACTCAAGTCGAAGCTTCTGTTTAGCGTCGTTGTGGTGAGTGGGGGGTTGTTGTGGCTATTGGGGGGTGGGGGTGGGTGGATTGTGGGGGTGGGATTGAAGGAGGTATGTGTGCGTGTGCTTGTGTGTGTGTGTGTGTGTGTGTGTGTGTGTGTGTGTGTGTGTGTGTGTGTGTGTGTGTGTGTGTGTGTGTGTGTGTGTGTGTGTGTGTGTGTGAAAGAGAGAGAGAGAGTGAGTGAGTGAAAGTGAGAGTGGGGGAGTGGTGGAATGGTGGGGGGAAGGGGCGGGGCTGGTATTTCGCTCCTGGTTTGTTTGTTTCTTCTGTGTGATTGTTATTTCTCTCCCTCTCTGTCTCTCTCTCTCTCTCTCTCTCTCTCTCTCTCTCTCTCTCTCTCTCTCTCTCGCTCGCTCGCTCGCTCGCTCGCTTTTCTTTCTTTCTTTCTTTCTTTCTTTCTTTCTTTCTTTCTTTCTTTCTTTCTTTCTTTCTTTCTTTCTTCTTCTTTCTCTCTTTCTCTCTTTCTCTCTTCTCTCTCTCTCTCTCTCTCTCTCTCTCTCTCTCTCTCTCTCTCTCTCTCTCTCTCTCTCTCTCTCTCTCTCTCTCTCTCTCTCTCTCTCTTTCCTCTTTTCTTGATCTTTATTCCTTCCTTTTATATATTTTATCATAATATCATCATAAGCCAAATTACTAAAAGGATATGTACACACAATGGAATAAACAATCACTAATTTCCAACAGTAAGATTCATAACGTCATTTATAACGTTTACTTAATCAATAATTTGTATATAACTTTATGCCTTTATAACGTAAATATAACCATCATTTATGGCAGATATTTATTCATTAATTGATAATGTTTATTTATGCAATAATTTTTTGCATTTATTCATCCAATAATTTATGACATTCATTTATTCAGTAATTCATAACTTTCATTTATTAAATAATTCATTTAGTAAATTATTTATAAAATTTATTTATTCAATAATTTATAAAATTTATTTATTCAATAATTTATAAAATTTATTTATTCAATAATTTATAAAATTTATTTATTCAATAATTTATAAAATTTATTTATTCAATAACATTTATATGCAAACTCATCCCGGTCCCTCTTTCAGCTGGCCTTCCGCTCAGCCTCGGCATCTGCAGCATCCCTACGAGAGGAAGTCAGGCGTGTGATGCAAGTCCCTCCCCCTCCGCCCACGGGAGACATACACAGCCAAGACCACTACGCCCACGACCCCCACACCCACGCTCTGGAGGTGGGCGTGTCGGCTTTCCTCACCGCCAACATCGATAAGCACGACTTGACGAAGAATGTGGATGTGAGTTTCTCGTTGGGATATGATTGTGGAGGACAGATGATAGATAAATAGATAGATAGATTGACAAATATGTGGATAGGTCGATAGGTAAATATGTGGATAGATAGATTGATGAATATGTGGATAGATAGATAGACAAATATATGGATTGATAGATTAATAAATATAAGGATAGATAGACAATTATATGGATAGATTGATAGATAAATATATGGATAGGTAGATTGATAAATATATGGATAGATAGATAGATAAATATATGGACAGATAGATGAATAAATATATGAATAGATAGATAGACAAATATATGGACAGATAGATAGACAAATATATGAATAGATAGATAGATATATGGATAGATAGATAGACAAATATATGGATAGATAGATGGAGAGATAAATGTAAAGGACAGATAACAAATAAATAAATGGATAGATAGTTAGATAAATAAATGCAGAAGGCAGATAATAAGTAAATATATCGATAAGGAGATAGACAGACGGATAGATAAATGATGAATAGATGACTAGATAGATAGCTGAATAATGGATGAATATGTGAATTAATTGACACGCGATAGATAAATTTATGAATAGATTTTACATTGATAAAAAATAAAAATATATAAATGGATTAAAAAGCAAAAAACATAGATAAATTTCTAGCCTGGATGATAAAGTGAGATTAAGATATTAAAAAAAATACTGAGAGAGAGCTACACAGATAGAAAGGTAAACAAATAAGTGGACAGATAAATAGGCAGAGAGCTTATTAGACAAATAGAAATAGATAATATAGTATCCTGAAAAAATGTAAAGATAGATAGATAGACAGACAGATAGACAACCAACTAAAACTTTTTCTCCTGTAGGAGGTGTGCCAGCAGATCTGGGCGACGCTGTACGACTACCCGGCCCTCAAGTCGTGCGAGGGCCTCCTGCAGTACATCAAGGACTGCGTGCGCCTGGCGTGGGGCCTCAGCAACCAGACGCCGGCCTTCGTGATCGACTACGAGACGCGTGTCTTCAGGAAGGAGTACCACGTCCGCTTCCACACCGCCGACCCCGAGAGCGACGCCATCAAGACCTACCTGTGGCCGGCGCTGCTGGAGGGCCCCGGGGGAACGTGCGTGCAGAAGGGCGTCGTCATCACCTAAGGGTTGGACGTCGGAGGAGGGGGCGCCTCGCGGGTG